TGTATGCCTGTAATGCCTGCAAAGGTAAATCATAGTTGTATGCTACATCATTATTTTCCTCCCTAATTTTTAATATTCTAATATTCTCATTTAAACTGCTATGAAAACGTTCAATGTCCGAATTACCAGTATGTCTATGAGGTGTTGTAAAGTGATACTGAATATCATTATCTTCAAGGTGTCCCGTAAATACTGGATTAGAAAACGTCGGGTCATTATCCATAGTAATCTTTTGGGGTTTCTTCATGATGAGGAACAATTTATTTACAGCTTTTATAGCCTGTAATGGTGTTTTGTCAGATAATTCTTCCATTGCTGCATATTTTGTAAATTTGTCAATCATGGTCAAATAAAATATTTGGTTATTAAGATACCAAATATCCAAGTGGTAATGAACATAAGGTCCATGTGGTGTTTCCGTTTTCTCGAATGGTAATTTGACGGGGTTTCTTTCTATTTTGAAATTACATATAACGCAGTTATTTATAATTTTAACAATTTCCTTTTTCATATTCGGATAATAGTATTTCCTTTTTAATTCAATATATGTTTTATCTATTCCTGGATGATTGTTTTCAAATCGGTGGTGTCTATTTATGATTTCTAGGAGTTCTTCGTATCTAACATCTTGCAGAAATTTAGTTGTTAATATGATTTCAAATTGTTTTGTATTTAAAGGATTATCTTTTGTGGTTTTATATTTTTCCTGTAATTTCAATAAAATTTCCGTATCCTCACAATACAATGCTGAAAGATTATTTTCCATGGCTTCATTCAATATTCGTGATATTAATTCGTCGTCGAATGTTTCATAAGCGTATATTTTCCTATTCCTATCAAATATCCGTTCATGTGTCGTCTTATTGTCCTTGGAATTGTCAATTTTTATTTGGTTCTTGTAGTGCTGAAGAGGTTTCTCTGATATCTTAAAGAAATTATGGCCATCTTCGTCAGCACTGTGTATTGTAGAAGTAGGTGAAGGTGGTCTTTTCTTTAAATGTTCATCCAAATGTTTCCTAAGCAGATTCTTCTTACTAAACATTTTATTACATATCTCACATTTATGTTTTCTTTTAGCTGTGATTGCATTAACTTCTCTAATTCTTGAGAGAGCATCAGCTACTATATTATCCTTTCCTTCTACATGTTTGATGTCAAATTCGTATTCATTTAACCTCATTTTCCAACGGATTAGTTTGGAATTAGGGTCCTTAAGATTTGCCAGCCATATAAGGGGTTTATGATCGGTTCTTAGTTCGAATTTCCTACCGTAAAGATAATGTCTGAATTGCTTAACTGCCCAAACAATTGCAAGTAATTCTTTTTCAACTGTGGAATAATTAATCTCATGACGGTTTAAAGTGCGTGAAGCAAACGCTATTGGTCCATTGCTTTGTGACAGGACGGCTCCTAATGCATAATTACTAGCATCGGTAGTCAGAGTAAAACCCTTTTCAAAATCCGGGTATTGAAGTACCATATCGGACATCAGAATCTGTTGTAACTTCTTAAATGCTTGTACATAGTCAGCATCTTCAGTATTAATTATTGCATCTTTTTTAAGTCTCATGGTCAAGGGTTTTGCAATTTTTGCATAACTTGGGATAAACTTTCTGTAATAACCCGTTAATCCCAGAAAACTTTGTATTTCCTTAACATCTTTTGGTATGGGGATCTCCTTAATACATCTTATTTTATTCGGGTTTGGTTTTATCCCATTATTAGTCACTACATGTCCTAAAAATTCAGTCTCTTTTTTCAAGAAGTCTGATTTATTTAAGGATACTTTTAGATTTGCAACTTCTAATGTTTTCAAAACTTTTCCCAAGTTTTCCATATGCTCCTGTAATGAAGTCGAAAATACTAAAATATCATCCATGTATACCACACATATCCTGTTTATATGCTCTCTGAGCACGTTGTTCATCATTCGCTGAAAAGTTGCCGGAGCATTCTTTAGACCGAATGGCATTCTTATAAATTCATAATGTCCATTTGTTGTAGAGAATGCTGTTTTTTCCCTATCTTTTGGATCTACCTCAATCTGATAAAATCCCTTTGTTAAGTCCAATGTTGTGAAATAGTTAGCTCGACCTAGTTTATCTAGTATGTCGTCAATTACTGGTATTGGATATCTATCATCTTCAGTGATAGCATTCAATTTTCTATAGCCTATAACAATTCTCCATTCCTTGTTTCCTACTTTATCTTCCTTCTTGGGTACTACCCAGATAGGAGAATTATATGGAGATGAACTATGCTTTATTATACCTTGTTCTAGCATTTCATTCATTTGTCGATCTACCTCTTCAGTATGTATTGCTGGATACCTATATGATTTCGTATATACAGGGCCATGATCTCCTGTTTCTATCTTGTGCTTTATCTCATTGGTAAAGGTCAGATCATCTCCCGGATGGTAAAAGGCATTTTCATATTTAGTTATTAATCTTTGGAGCTCTGATTTTTCTTCTGTATTTAGGTGGTCTGTCCTTAGCTGCTCAGTAATTCCTAGTATGTTAATATGATGGAGTTCTGGCAATGTTTGTAGTGAAAATTCGTCATCTTCAGAATCTCCTTCAAAATATATCCTGAACTTTTGACCGTTAATACTTACTTCTTTTTTCCTATAATCAATTACAGAACAATTTTCTTGTAATGTTTGGTTGCCTAATATTCCATCGAAGAATTTGTGAAAGGTATACACCCTAAATGTTGTACCTGAATTAAGGGGAATCTTAATAGAATTTTTTGGAAAATGGGCATTGCGGTCAACCGTAATGACACCTGCTGCAGTTTTAATGTATATTGGAGTGTGAGAATTTTTTATATACTGTGGAGGACAATGATCTTTACATATTAGATTTTCTGTGGAACCCGTGTCAATTAATAATCTTGTTTTCCTTGATCTTCCTTTGAGTATGATATAGGGAAGTCCGGTGGCTCCTTGTAAGGAACTAACCGAAAATTTTCCGCTTTGGCTTCAAAATTTTCATTAGTACCATACTCATATTCAGAACTGTATTGATCTTCTTTATTATCCTGATATACACTGTCTTGATACAAATCATCTTGATACATTTCGCTTATCTCTATTTTATTGTTAATACCTTCTAAATTCTTACATGATTTCTGCTCCTGGTGGTGTGTCTGCCTTTTTGATTGTTGAGATGCATCAACATCCATTGATTCATGCTTTTGTTGATATGATGTTGGAGGCTGTTGTCTGATTTGTGGTTGCTGAGGCTTGTAGTAAGGTTGTTGCGATCCATGTTGCTGGAAATTTGGTTGTACAATTCTCGGCTGCCAATGTTGTTGTTGTTGGTAATGTGGCTGCATTATCCTTGGTTGCCAATGTTGCTGTTGTTGGTAATGTGGCTGCATTATCGTTGGTTGCCAATGTTGCTGTTGTTGGTAATGTGGCTGCATTATTTTTGGTTGCCAATGTTGTTGTTGGGGACTTGGTTGTGGTTTGTCCTTCTTCTTTTCGTTGTTCAGGAATCCCGCAGAGCTCAATTCATGCAAAGCTTCCTCCATACTTTGTGGTTTTAATGCGCATAATACAGTCCTCATATGGATTGGAAGACGTGTTATAAAAGTCTTCAGACCAGTTTGGATATTCCTATCGACTTCATCCAATCGATTCTCCTGACCACATTTTTGGTTAAGAATTGCTAGTTTGTGTTGGATGTGGTTGTAGAAATCCATAGTATCTCCTTTATACTGCGCTGCTCTCAGTTCCTGATATAATTGGTCCACAGTGGCAAAGCCACCAAAGTTGGTATTTAGCATCGCTTTTATGTCAGTCCAAAGGGTCAAATGGGGATGAACCTCCATTGCTCTTCTGGCGTTTCCAGTTAGTTTTGATTTTACGATGTTCATACACATTCTTTGAGCTTGTTCGTTGTATAACATTAATGTAGGAATTATGTCATCTACATTTGTTATGAATATTGTGAGGTCTTCCTTCTTCCCATCAAATTCCCTTAATTTTTCAATATATGTAAGGGGATTGATGTCTAGCGTACGTAATTGTATGTTGTTTTGCGCTGGGTTAAGGGCTGGTTGATTTGCGTTATTCATTTTGTTTCAATTTTTTATAATCTTATTAATGTTCCAAATTTCACTTCGTTGCTATTTTTTGGCTATTTGTAAGTCTTTTAATGTTTTTTAGTTTTCCTCTAATGTTTTACCACTTTCACTTTTTAAGTTTCGTAATTATTTCTTATATTGTAATTATTTGCTTTTTTAAATTTGTAACAATTTGTTAATCTTAAAAATTTATTTCTCTCTTATTAGGATGTGATGTCCACTTTTAACTTTTCCTAGTTTTCTTGTTTAACGTAATTTTGTTAACTTGTTTCTTTTTTACTATTCACTAAAATGTTTCTTTAATCACTAAGTTTATTGTCCCTTTCCGGAGGACTTATCCTTTTACGTAGGATTTCGTTTCACGGACTACCAAACGATCATGGTAATCCTACCGACTGCGCCAATTTTAATCATTCTTAATAGTATTATATTTTTTAAAAACTAAAGTGAGTTTCCTCCCTTTGGCGAAACTCGCGTTAAAAATAACACGTCAATTAAAGTTTGCTGCTGGAATAGAACTAAATCTTTATTTGTGAATGAGTGCAATATACATAATTGTTTATTCTAATTCTAGATACATCGTATGATTATTTATTGGTCTTTTGATTCGATCGTATGATTTGAAATACGATCGATTGTGTGATTTGCAAGAAGGGTGTGGCTTTTTTTTTTCTAAATGACAGATGGTACGATAATTGTAATATGAATACGATAATTGTAATATGAATATATTGCCAAGTCATTGGAAAGGCATTTTGGTTTGGGTTATAACACAAGAGTGTGTCCCAATGGACCACCTGACGGACAATGAGAAGATTGTGATTGTTCCTACTTTCAATTTTTTTTGAGGTCCCAATTATTCGAAAAAAAAATTCATAGAATCCCATTTTCCCCGTTTTCCTTTACAGTTACCGAAAACAACGCGAGCTGTGAAAATTCTTGCCACAGGCTTTGGCAATTGCTCCCTCCAACTTACCTACCAATATTACACCAATGGCGAAGATAGTTTCCAATACTTCCAACTGGCGCCCAAAGTGGAACTACTCAATCCTGCGGAAATGTCATTGGAAATATGTTTCAGTTATATCGAACCCAGTTCGAAGGCAACAAATATGGTTGTAATGGAGGTGAATTTACCGTCCGGTTTCAGTGGAGATGAAAAGGATATGGATGAGTTGTTGGAGAACGATATTGTGCAGAGAATTGAAATGAAAAATTCCGAAACTACAATCATTGTGTATTCGGCCCAGCTGATGGCCGAGGAGAAGAGCTGCTTGAGTCTGATGGCCTATAAAATACATGATGTTGTTTATCGCAAAGCGGCGGCCATAATTATCTATGATTATTACAATATAAGTAGGCATGATACGGTCTTTTATAAAATAGTGGCTGAGACGGCTCAGGATCATAGCTCGAAAGTGGAAAATACTCCAATTACACTTGACAACGAAAATTCTATATTTTAAGAGAATATTATTTTTATTAAAAATGTAAAGGAAAATATAATAAAAAAAACAGGACTATTACGCTCTAATACCCTTAAAAAAATTTGAAGAATTCCAGAATTCTAACTGATTTTTTTAGGTATTCGGAAAAATATTTTTTAAAAAAAAATTAATAAAAAAAGCCAACGTTTTTTTTAATCTCTAGTATTTTCCGTTCAAATCCTTGATAACAACTCAGAAGTCCTGCAAATATTATTTTTTTAAGATCCAAATATTATTTTTAAAAGCTCCACGTTTTTACCACTTCCTAAAAATCAGTATTATTGTCCATTTAAATTCTCAAAAGAGATCGGAAGATATTATATTTTCAAGCTCCAATTTTTAAATTTTAAAGTTCCACGTTTCAAATCCTCAAAAGAGATCAGAAGTCCTCCAATAAATAATTTTTTAAGCTCCAAATATAAAATTCTAAAATTCCCCTTTTTTGCCACTTCCCAGTTTTTTTATTTAATCCTTTCGTGTCCTTTCCATTAAAATACTTCAAAAGACAAAAAAAGATCTCCACTTATGCCAAAAACAAAATCCATTGCAAATTAAATCCTTCATTTAATTTCATCTGATAATGGCAAATCAATCAAAAGTTTCAATAATGCGCTCTTCACTTTAATTCTTCGATTTTCGTTTTTTTTTTCGACCTAAAGAGAATAGCGAATGAAGCGAATGAAGCTGCGAAATGGCGAACAAAATAAAACTTTTGTTTTTAATGCGCTTTTGTTCGCACGCCGCCTTGCCAGTAGCTCTTCTCATCATCCATGAATGATGGCTGTCAGGACAATGGATTTTAGAAAAGTTGAGGAGATTCTAGTTTTTATTTTTCCGCGAAAAGAAAGTTACAACGACAGCTAGACCATTGGCAGGAGCAAACAAAATAATCTGCACGTCCTTATCTGCAATTGTGTAGACAACGATAGTCGTAAGTTAGAAGCAATGAAAAACCAAAAAAAAGGAAATATTCCTTGGGTTTTACTTGGGTTTGAAAAAGAAGGGAACGCTTAAAAGCGACCAGAAGAGAGTTTTTAAAGAGGGCCAGAAGAAGATATTTAAAGGCGACAAAAAGAAATTCTTGAAAGCAACCAAAAGCGAGTCTAAGAAGGTGACTAGAAGGGAGTCTTTAATTCGACCAGAAGAGAATTTTTAATTCGATCAGAAGAGAGTCTTTGGAGGCGACCAGAAGGGAGTCTTTAAAGGCGACCAGAAGGTAGTCTTAAATGGCGACCAGAACGGAGTCTTCCAAGGCGTTCAGAATGGACTTTTGAATTCGACGGGAGTACTTGAGGCGACCAGAATAAAGTCTTTCAAGTCGAACAAAAGCGAGTCTTGAAGGCGACCAGTTGGGCGAGTTTAATTGGGACCATAGGGAGTCATTGAAGGCGACCAGAAGGGAGCCTTAGAAGGCGATCAGAAGGGAGTCTTTGAAGGTGACTAGAAGGTAGCCTTTAAAGCGCATAGAATGGGGTTTTGAGGGCGACCAGAGAAAAATCTTTGAACGTGACCGGAAGGGAGACTTTACAAGCGTTCAAAAGGGAGTCTTAGAATGCGACCAGAAGGTTGTCTTTGAAGGCGACCCGAAGGAAGTCTTTATAGATAACCAGAATTGAGTCTTTGAAGGCGACCAGAAGGGAGTCTTAAATTCGAGCAGCAGGGGGCCTTAAAAGGTGACCTGAAGGATGTCTTTAAAGGCGAACAGAATGGATTCTTAGAAGGTGTCGAGAAGGGAGTCTTATAAGGCGAATAGATGGGAATCTTGAAAGGCGACCAGAAGGAAGTCTTAAATTCAACCGGAAGAAAGTTTTTAAAGGCGACCAAAAGGGAGTCTTTGAAAGACACCAGAAGTGGGTCCTTAGAACGATAAAAAGGGAGTTTTTAAAGCCGATCAGAAGCGAAACTTCGAAGGCGACCAGAAGGGGTCTTTACAGAAGACCAGAATAGAGTCTTTGAAGATGGCGAGAAGGGAGTCTTAGAAGGCGAACAAAAGGAAGTCGATAAAGGCGACCCAAAATGAGTTTTTAAAGCAGCCGGAAGGGTGTCGAGAAGGAAGTCTTACAAGGCGACCTGAAGGGGGCCTTTGAAGGTGACAAAAAGGGATTCTTTAAAGGCGACCAGAAGGCGAGTCTTTGGAGGCGACCAAAAGGGAGCCGTTGAAGGGTATTTGAACGACCAAAAGGGAACTTTAAAGGAGACCAGAATGGAGTCTTAGAAGGCGACCAGAAGGTGGTCTTTAAAGGCGAAAAGAAGGGAGTCTTAAAACACGATCTGAAAGGAGTCTTAGAAGACGACCAGAAGGGAGTCTTAAATGGCGACTAGAAGACAAGCTTAAATTCGACCAGAAGGGAATCATTGCAGACGGCCAAAAGGAAAACCTTGAAGGTGACGAGAAGAAAGTCTTTAAAGACGGTCAGAAGCGAGTCTTAAAAGGCAATCATAAGTGAATCTTAGAAGGGAGTTTTAAATTCGACCAAATGGGAGCATTTGATGGTGACTCGGATGAAGTTTTTAAAGACGACCAAAATCCAGTATTTAAAGCCCATCAACAGAGTAACTTTGAGAACGACCGATAAGGAACCTTAAAAGCGACCAGATGGGGGTGTTAATATACGACCAGAGAGGAATCATGAGAGGCGACCAATTTATGTTTCAGTTGTAGGCTGTGGCCTTTGCTATTATCAAAGAACTGGCATCTGTCCAAAAATTATACTCCAGTCTACGTCACAATGACATCTATCCTATCAATTTGCTCCCTATTGTAGATCGACCAACAGAAATGGGCTCTATAGGAGCCGTCTGCCCTTTGGAAAAAGCATATGCTCAGACAAAAGGATAGTATTTTTCGTTCCCACAACCTTGGCCTCTCCATCTGATCACCGGCCGTTAAATCAAGAGCCTAACATCGTGGGGATAACTACCCTTCATCCTCACGATTCGAATGCTTAAGAAAACTAGGAGCCATCTGCCCTTCGGAAGAGACTGAGGGCCAGATAAAAGGAGTGTATTTTCCTTTTCCACAATCTTTGTCTTTCCATTTGGTAAGACACCTATGCCCTCCCCAGATAGGTATGATCAGCGGCCATTAGATCAGAAGCCTAAAATCGTAGGAAAAATCACTCCTCATCTTCAAGATTCGACTGTATTCGAAATACGTACCTTTGGCCCTATACGACGAAATTCTAACGCAATGCTACCCCAATTATCTCATCTTATCCAGTCGAATGCCGTTCAACTTTGGGCGCCATCTAACGAATAGCCGATGATTGGCATCGAGGTCGACCTATCAAGCAAGGGATCCGAAAAAGGCAAAGGTCGGAAGGAGACCGCCAGGGACAGCAGCCTGGATGTCCCAGGGAAATATGTTATATAACATGGGACCAAGGAGGGAACCTTAAGGGAACTCCAATACAGGGCGGCGGCTAGAGAGTCGCTCACCAACTTTAATCCTTAAGAATCGATCCCTTAGAAAAGTAGTGACCATTCTACGGAATTGGCAATTGGAATTTATGAAATTTATGTAAATCGTACTAGACAGAGTCAAAAGCCCTGGTCATATCTAGAAACACGGATATAGATCGTGGAGAGACAAGACCTAAATCCGAATTGATAGTCCCCTAGAATCCTGCTTCCTTCTACGGATCTTTAAATGCTTGTCAGAAAAGGGGATTTGAATAGCTTTCCGAACGGGGATAGAAGGGAAATAGGCCTGTGGTTTGTAACGACGAGTTTCTTCTGTTCTATAAAAAAACAAATTCTGGTGTGGTAAAAATGAGGTACGATTTTTGCCGTCACAAGTTGTCACACTGAGAGGGATCAGAACACCACGCTTCAGTATGAAAACCATATTGGCTTCTTTCCAAGCCGTAGGAAAGTACCCTAGACTCAGGCAAGGATTGAAGTGGTCCGTCAACAAGAATATAAGCACATTTTCTGCCCTTTATCAAAGTTTGGTCCATATCGCAGGATTTGTGATGTTTTCCGCTTTGCCTACTTCCAAGCCGTATCCTTGATCCAGGTAATGATTGAAGAGGGTCGTCAAAAAGGACAGTACAACATTTAACGACCGTTTCAAAGCTACATCGGAAATTTGGTCCATACCGCAAGATTTACGGAAGTTTCGGAGTGAAAGCGCAAATCCAACCTATCTTTTCAAAGGAAGATGTGGACAACAGGAGGATCCATTAGCTATCTTTTCAAAGGAAGATGTGGACAACAGGAGGATCCATTAGCTGTTAATGAGTAAATGCTAAACGACACGATGAGAGGATGATCTCCGACTAGCTGACTTAATGCTGAAAAGAATCGTCGACGGAAACTCTATCATGTCGAAGCGTTCCCTACACCTTGTCCGCCAACATCTCAACCCTATGTTCACCACAGCTGACCTTAGCATCAGCGGCCTCTACGAGGGAGCTAACAGATTATCAAGAGGCAAAACCGGCCATTCGCTTTACTTTGCCATAGGTCTTGGAATTAGCCGCAACTTCTGACAGAACCAGAAGGGAGTCTTTAAAGAAGACCAAAGGGGCATTGGTTTTTTAAAAATATTTTTGAAGAACTGTATTTACCAATCTTTTAAACCGACCAGAAACGAATTTTTAGAGGTGATCTGAAGAGTGTCTTTAATGTCCCAAATGTCCATAAAAAAGCTTTTTAAGGCTACCAAGGAGTCTCTTTAAAGGAGAGCTAGCCAGCCACTACCTATACAAAAGCTTTGATTGTGCATGTCTTACAGACATGAACATCGAGAGATGTGATTGCGTGTGAGGTGCAATGAATTGTCCATGGGCGGTGTGTTGGCGAGCGCTGCTTTAAAGTTATCCATTGGGAAGACTCTAAAAACAGAAGGGCATCTTTAATGGCAACCGAAAGGGAGTCTCAACCACAATCGAGTATTTAAGGCGACCAAGAAGTTATTCTTTCTGGGCGCCAAATTTAGAACCACCAAAAAACTAGGACAACAAAATCCAAAAACACATCATTTATGACCAGCATTCACTTCGTAATCCAGTTTTCACCGCTGGCAAATGCGGAATACAACTTATTGAATTTGGAACAGTGG